CGACCCTCAGATTGCGAGTCGAGCGCCCTAACCACCTGGCCATGCCGGGCCTATATTATTTTGTAAGCTTGTTTTTAAATCATTATACATTATTAAAAGTCAACAACATGGTAATGTTCATAGGTTGGTGATTACATAGTCCATGTTAATTAAAGTAAGTCTTATTTCCGTCCTCGAAAACTAAGGTAGCTGAAAAAAATATCGACAAAAAATATGCAGAGAACACATCGGTCTGATGTTGCTTATTCATGATGACAAAACAGTTGTGATCACCAAGTACTTTTAAGGCTTGTCAGTAAACTGTGATGTTGTCGCTATGTACAATAATGCTTTGTCATGAAAATTAGAACATACTGACAATTTGTGTACGTAGCAAATTTGATTTCAGTTCTGAGATACACTGCATTTGCAAACCATTATGTGACACAAGTCTGTATGTCTGTGTGTGTGTCCGCTTATAACTGGCGAGCCGCTGAGTCGACTGTCACTGCACCTACTCTTAGCCTCCCCTATATATATTTGCCGGTGTAAAAGACGCCTCTGGATTTTTTTTAGCATATTAAATGTATTTATTTGAGGTTCGGTGTATAGGACGACCCCTATTGTCAAGCAAGTCTAATATATTACTTTTGTAAAGAAATTCTTAGAAGTTATTTTTAAACTGTGTTAACCTGCACTCTGGGGTAATCAATACAACCACAAGTGTGGTTTTTTTATGCTCTTCAAACGCTACAGACAGCTCAATGCGGCATAACCTACGTCACAAATGGGTAATAAACAACTTTACAAAGTTTATCACAGTTGAACTCCTTTTCTATAAAAACAAGTTTACAAAATTAGTGTACGTTACAGAAACTTTTGGTATAAGTAATATTTTATTTAGTATGAAGGATGAGGTTAGTACATTTCAAATAAAAATGTTTTGATTAATTGTAACTAGCATGTGAGGTAAATAACTTCTAGTTACGAAGAATCAAGACAAATGATATAATTACAAATATGTTATTGTAAAGCAGTAGGTGGCACGATGTGAATACACTTACTCAAAAAAAACAAAGTAAACAAGGGAATAAACGCAGTTGATCTTTGTATTGAACTAGCTTCCGCATTAAAAAGAAACAACGTACTTTTGGTTAAATATGCTATTAACCGGAGAGTTCTTACCGGATCTCTATCTTTGAACCCGTGTATAAGACGAGGGGTAAATCAGGCTTTGATTTAAGAGTAAAAAGTATCGTCTTATACACTGGAAAATACGGTATCCCTGATGTTACCTCCTCTCGGGGACTCCATGTCTTACCCAAGCGTTGAACGTATACGTCAGCTAGTAATCATTATTTGGACAACTTCTTTATAAACGTTGACATATTTGGTTCAACAACCACATCAGAAATAATGTGTCAGAACACTCGGAAATGTCAACCTGACGGCACCTTATGTTTATGTGAGCAGAACTGCCATGTTAGAAACCCCTAGAGTTCAAGTATGGTCGTCCCTAATTTTGTACCAGAGGGAAGGCAGCCAGTCAGCAACACCCACCGCCATAGGGGCTTTGTCCAGCTCTTTGAACCGAATAACGGAATTGGCATTGTGTTTTTCTTTTTCTTTTGTAAACGCGCTCACGGTTGAAAGCGTGATGTATATATAATTGTTTTACCTCTCAAATATATATATATATACACACACCTATATTATAAACTTTAGATCACAACAGCTCTTTGTTGTTGTTTTTTATTTTCCGATTTTGAAATGAGGGGGGGGCAGAAGGCTTCACTAGTTCATCAATTTAATTATTGGAATTAAC